ACTTGTTTGAAAACTGGGCTTTTGTACTCTTTCGATATCAGTTGTTGAATATTCATTCATTGTCCGTTTGTTGCCTTAAAAGGTAATTCCCCTGCTTTGGAGGTGGATGTTACCCCCTGGTTGGGTGGATGTTATCTCCCCTGGGCTTGTACAGGGGGGGTCTTGCATCATCCTCAGCTGCAAGTCCTTGAGGGCCTCTCTGTATCCACATGGCACAGAGAAATATATTTTCATTTATAATTTGTTCCCTGTTCCCGGCCGCAAAAGATTCCCTGGTGTTAGGTCCAGACAGGACCCTTCACCTTACAGACTCCACGGTACGCCTAGAAGTTAGTAAATATACAGAAATAGTTTTTTTGTTAGTACCCCCTTTTTTTATTTTAATTTGCTTGGAATAAAAAAACCGGTGCCTTTACTTATCACATTGTTGATAAATATATTAAAAAAAAATAATAATCTGTAAAAGAACTGTTGTGGTTTAAGCCCAGCTGGCAACTCAGTCCGACACAGTCGCTTGCTCAACTCCCCTTCTCTCCCCCCCACCCCGGTGGAATGGGGAGGAGAATCAAAAGTAAAACTTGTAGGTTGAGATAAGAACAGTTCAATAATTGAAACAAAAGTTAAATATAATATTAGTCGTAAATAATACTGCTAATCAAAAGGGAAAAAAAACCAAAAAACAAAACAAGGGATGCACAATACAATTGCTTACCACTCGCTGACTGATGACAGACCCCGTGCCCAAACCCAGATCAGCCCCCATTCCAGGGAATTCTGCCCAGTTTATATACTGGGCATGATGTTCTATGGCATGGAATGTCCCTTAGTCCAGTTTGGGTCATGTGTCCTGGCTATTCTCCTTCCCAGTTTTTCTTTTGTGCACCTCCTCATTGGCAGAGCATGAAACACACACACACACACAAAAATTCCTTGATTTAGGCTAACTATGACTTAGCAACAATCAAAACATCAGTGGTTTAACAACATTATTCCCATTCCAAACACAGCACTGCACCAGCTACCGAGAAGAAATGAACTCTATCCCAGCTGAATCCAGGTTTGCCTTTGCCTGAGGCAGGAATAACCCAGACTGTTTTCCCCAGCGTGCTTTTAATGTGCATTGCAGGAACTTTATCCCCCTCTACAGTACATAAAAGTTTTGATTGGGCAGGACCAGCCCAATTGCCAGATCCTCTGATGTTGACTAACCGGGTGGCCTTTGTCAAATGTGCATCCCAATGTTTGAAGGTCCCAGCACCCATCACTCTCAGTGTAGTCTTTAACAGTCCATCACATTGTTCGACCTTTCTAGAGGCTGGTGCGCGATAGGGAATATGATGCACCCACACAATGGCCTAAGTGTCTATGAGGTTGTTTAGAAAATAAGTTCCCTTGTCTGACTCAATTCTTTCTGGAGTACCATGTTGCCATTGGACTTGCATTTCAAGCCCAGGATAGTGTTCCAGGTGGTAGCATGGGACACAGGATATGTTCCTAGCCATCCAGTGGTTGCTTCCACCATCATAAGCAGATGGCATTTGCTGTCATGGGTTTGGGGGAGTGTGATAGAGTCAATCTGCCAGGCTTCCCCATACTTATATTTCAGCCATTGTCCTCCATACCAAAGAGGCTTTACCCGATTGGCCTGCTCAATTGCAGTACATGTTTCACATTCCTGCATAACCTGTGCAATAGTGTCCATGGTTAAGCCCACCCCTCAATCACAAGCCCCTTTGTATGTTGCATCTTTTCCTTGATGTCCTGAGCTGTCATGGGCCCACCGAGCCAGAAATAATTCCCCCTTTTGTTGCCAATCAAACCCACCTGAGCCACTTCAATCCTAGCAGCCTGATCCACCTGCTCATTGTTCCAATGTTCTTCAGTGGCCCAACTCTTGGGTACATGAGCATATGCGTGATGTACCTGTGACGGAATGACACACGGACTTCTGGCTTGATGGACAGAAATCACTTTATCGCTAATGATCATGGGGTTTTATACCATTCACTTTCAACTGGGAGTGGTTAAGCAAATCAAGGCAGAACACAGCTGCAAGCCACACATCAACCACACTCACAGGCCGGCTGGCCACACAGACACCACCCACACAGACCTTGGAGTTTCAAGTTACCCTTATACCCACCCACCACATGGTAAATTGCAAACTGAGAGCTCAGCTCCGTCCCTGGACAGTAAATCAAGGCTTTAGATAAAACAATACAAGGTCATCTAGACATTTCCCAGGCCTTTCTGATTTTCTTCTTTCTTGTTCTCACACTGGCTTGCTACATGTACCTTCACAGCCAGGATCTTCACCCAGGCAGCAATATCTTACCACAGTGCAGCAGCCCAGATGGGCTTACCTCTACACTGCCAGTTATTCTTCCATTGTTGCAATCACCCCCACAGTGCGTTTGCCACCATCCATGAGTCAGTGTAGAGATAAAGTACTGGCCATTTTTCTTGTTTAGCAATGTCTAAGGCCAACTGGTTGGCTTTCACCTCTGCAGTCTGACTCTATTCACCTTCTCCTTCAGCAGTTTCCACGACTTGTCATAGGGGGGTCCATGCAATTGCTTTCCACCTCTCTTGCTTTCCCACAAGACACCAGGATCCATCAGTAAACAAGGCATATTGCCTCTCACATTCTGGTAATTTATTGTACAGTGGGACCTCTTCAGCACTTATTACCTCCTCTGGTGACATTCCAAAATCTTTGCCTTCTGGCCAGTCCTCCAGTGATCCAACAGCGCCCCCTCCCGATCGTGGTTAGAATTGTGCCAAATGGCAGAAAGTACTGAACAGGTTTTTTTGGAGGGGACTTTGGGTGCAGAATTATTGTTTAGTTGTTTTTGTGTTCTTTTGTTGTTCTGCCAATACACATATATCCTTTAATAAAGGACTGGGTTTTTTTCTTTCTCCACACTACCTCAGTTGGAGCCTCTTAATTTCAGTTTTACAGTTGCATAGAGGGAGGAGCTTGGTCTTCCTCATAACTCATCCTCCTTAGCAAAACACTTCAGTCTCATTAAACTGAGACACTGGACTTCATCAAAGTCTTTGACACCATCTCCCACAGCATACTCCGGGAAAAGGTGGTAGTCCACGGCTGGGACGGGTGTACTCTGTGCTGGCTTAAGAACTGGATGGAAGGCCAGGCCCAGAGAGTGCTGGTGAACGGGGCTGCATCCAGTTGGCGGCCGGTCACTAGTGGTGTCCCCCAGGGATCAGTGTTGGGCCCAGTCCTGTTTAATGTCTTTATTGATGATCTGGATGAGGGGATTGAGCAGCAAATTTGCAGACGACACTAATTTGGGAGAGAGTGTAAATCTACTGGAGGATAGGAGGACTCTGCAGAGGGACCTGGACAGGATGGATAAATGGGCTGAATCCAATGGTATGATGTTTAACATTACCAAGTGCCAGGTCCTGCACTTTGGCCACAACAACCCCATGCAGCACTACAGGCTGGGGACAGAGTGGCTGGAGAGCAGCCAGGCAGAAAGGGATCTGTGAGTTTGGATCGACAGGAAGTTGAACATGAGCCAGCAGTGTGCCCAGGTGGCCAAGAAGGCCAATGGCATCCTGGCCTGTATCAGGAATAATGTGGCCAGCAGGACGAGGGAAGTGATTCTTCCCCTGTACTCAACACTAGTTAGGCCTCACCTTGAGTACTGTGTCCAGTTCTGGGGCCCTCAGTTTAGGAAGGATATTGAGGTGCTGGAGCAGGTCCAAAGAAGGGCAATGAGGCTGGTGAAGGGACTGGAGCACAAGCCCTATGAGGAGAAGCTGAGGGAGCTGGGGTTGTTTAGCCTGGAGAAGACGACGTTCGGGGGAGACCTTATCACTGTCTACAACTACTTGAAAGGAAGTTGTAGTGAGGTGGGCATCGATCTCTTCTCCCAGGCAACCAGCAGTAAGACAAGAGGGCACAGTCTTAAGCTGTGCCAGGGGAGGTTTAGGTTAGACATTAGGAAGAAATTCTTTAGAGAGCGAGTGATCAGACATTGGATCGGGCTGCCCAGGGAGGTGGTGGATTCACCGTCCCTGGAGGTATTTAAGAAGACACTGGATGTGGCACTGAGTGCCATGGTCTAGTTGAGAAGGCGGTATTGGGTCATAGGTTGGACTTGATGATCTCAGAGGTCTTTTCCAACATAGTTGATTCTGTCATTCTGGGATTTTATCCCTAAAAACTGGACCTTTTGTGCAGGTCCCTTTACCTTACTTTGTTTTATGGCAAAACCAGCTTTCAGAAGGATTTGGGTTCTTTTCTTCCCTTTCTCAAACATTTCTTCTGCTGTATTTCCCCACACAGTGATATCATCAATATATTGCAAGTGTTCCAGAGCTTTACACTGTTCCAGTGCAGTCCTTAGCCCCGTTGTCCCAGCATCAGAGCAGCCAGGTGGTACTATGGTCAAGTAGATGACAGCTAAAATCTTTTCATATCTCCTGCAGCTCACTCAGGGATAGGGATCGAGTTGTGGTTGTCTCTACTGTCTTCTCTTCCTGTTCCTGTAATGGCCTTCATAATGGCACTGAAAATGGCCCTTGTGATGGCCCTGCTTCTTCATCTTCTCCACCTTCTCTGACCTCCTTGTCCTCCTTGACTGTCTTTGCTGCAGCTTTTTACTAGATGACATTTCTGTACATTTCTTCTGCTTCTGTACAGGGGCAATTGACACCATCACATGTTGATTCTGTGTTTTGGTGGCAGCACCTCTCTCTGGGGTTTAAGCTGCCACAGTGTCTGTCACAGTGATTGGAGCAGCTGCAGGGCCTGTTGTCATCTCATTGTCAGATTTAGAGACCTTCTTTTCCTCTGGAGGGTACTGAGCAATGTTGAACACGGCTCAACAGGCCTGGGTCAGGCCCCAACATGTTGCAGTGATTTGTGTCTCTCTGGGATTATAAGGGTGATAGCACACCTTTTTAAAATATTTTACTAGTTTTTCTGGATTCTGCACTTGTTTGGGAGTAAAGTGCAAGCACGTTGGAGGTGCCCACTGCCCTAGGTACTCTCCCATACTATCCCACACAGCCCTCTACTCCGAACTATCCAGCCTTGGGGCAGATCTCTGAGTGATGTTCTTAATTAACTGTCTGACCTTAAACAAGACCTGAACCATATGTAGCAACATGCTGGCTCCTAGCAAAAGGACCAGGTTGGTTTCAAGGGTATTCAAAGCATATTCAAAATCTTTAAAATTCTCAAACCCTACTGTAATCAGCCTGGAGGAGAAGGAAGGAAGGAAGGAAGAAAGATGTAGGAAGGTATCTCCCCCATAGGTT